GTGCCCAAACTGCAACCCAAAACCCACTTATGTGTTGCCGGGTGCTGTGGGCATGGCCAGCTCGATGTTGCTCCTGGGGAGGGATGCCTGTGGGGGCCGGGCAGGGTTGGGGGAGATCCAGGGGGTCTCTGGCAGGTGGAGCAGTGGGCAGGAGGGCGTCTTGCTTAGTTGATGGCTTGGGAGGAAGGGCAGCTACACCCCCTCCCAAATGCTGCCGTCTCATGAAAGCAAGATGAAAACTCCAAAAAGTGACAAGGAAAAAAAGTTAAAACAGAAGAGTGTCTCGCGATGGTTTTTTTCCCTGGCGGGGGGTGGGGGGAAGCTCCTGAGCCCCGCAGCTCTTCCGAGGGGTGGAGGAGGAGAGTGGGGTGGGTCTGTGCTGGGATCAGGGCTCCTTATGCCCTCCGCTGCCCGCCTGTGCTCTTCTGCCACAGACGCCACAGCTCTGCTTGTCTGGCAGAGTGGGGGCATGCTCAGGGACGAACATGGGGCTACTGCCTCACTTGCCAGGCTGGGCTGGACTGGGCGCGGAGCCTCCTCGCCGCTTCTTTCCCCGCAGACATCGGGAGCGCCCACCCCACCTACCACTTGTCCCGGGGCAGCTGCCGCCATCCGGCGCTCTCCAGCCCATTGCCGGCCAGCCATGCGTGCTGGGATGCCTCCCTTTGGGCTCCGTCAGCCTCTCCCCCCTCGAGGCTGGGGCTGGTCAGATTCCCCCCCGTGGGTAGCTCTGCGCCCGTCCCCGGCCAGTCATCCTCCTGTGGGCAGAGCGCAGCTTGGCCCTGCCTCCCTCTGGGGTGATGGCGCGCGTGCCCACAGGGATAGCTCTGCGTGCCATAGGTTCACCACCACAGAGCTATATGGTGATGTTTCGTATGATTAACCAGTTTTGGATATTTTTGTATTCAAAACATGAAATAATTTGCTTAAACAAGCACTAGTTCCAAACCTTAACTTAGTCCCTTCCATGGGTTTCCTTGACTGGTCAGGCCAGTTTGCTTTGGTGGATGACATCACAGGTCAATCATTCTCCTGAGATTCCACCCTGCTCTCCAGTTAAATGCTTTCATACAGTCAGAAAAAACTTAGCAATGGGATGATTGTTCAGACACCAGAAAGGTGTTTGTGCTAGGCAGGAATTTCCACATTTTCTGGAACTATGGGTCCATGTGCACCTGTAATTCAAGGCCAGCTGATTTGTGAAACTAGCCATTAGGCTGGATTTAATTTAAAATGCTTGAATCTATTTGGGTATATATTATTATATATGAAATATTTGTGTTGTATTTATTCTGAATAAGATACCAGGTAAAGTTTTATGATGGACGGGTCACTAATCTCTACAATATTCTGCTCTATGCTTAAATTAGCTGAAAGGAAATATAACTATATTGCGTGACCTAGCCAGGATAACAGGCCATTGTGATCTGAAACCGATTTATTGTTGAGCTCTATTATTGGTCAGATTTAAGCCTTTTCTCCACCCCATGCACACAAAAAGACTTTTATGTATCTTTCTTACTGTTTCTACAATCCACTCCATGTTATTTTGCTTACATCCCTGCATTCTATGTGCGAGATTAATCTATTTAAGGTTTTCACCAAAAAAGAGTTTTAAACAATGAAACCAGAACTTCTAATCTTTTAAGTGGCACACTGATTTCCGAAGGAGAATTTGCAGCTTTGTTAAGGAACTAATAAATTGGTGCATAGCAGTAGTTAAGCTTTATATACTACAGTATTAATTCTTATTGTATTTATTTATTAAATTTATGTGCCACCCATCTCATTAGAAAGTGACTCTGATAGTAATATTATTGCTTAGGTTGAGTGTCAGGTGTCTTATGTCCCTGAACTTGTTCTTTGTGAAGGTGCTTATTTTTTATAGAAGATAAGGTTGACAAGGATAACTAGTTTATTGATTCTATTTGTTATTATTTATTATTTTCTATTATTGGTTCTATTATTAATATACCTCTGAATATTGGTCTATATTTCGGGGTGCTATGAGTAGAAGGAATGCCATTCCACTGCCTGCAGTAGATGTTGGTCTAATCATTTGTTCTGTTCCTAAGCCATTCTTATTTTTCATGTTTTTCACTACTAATCTCAATGAGACAAATTTAATGGATCTGACATCAAACAATTAGGCTTACATCTGCATAGAATTAGTTTTAGAACCTATGCTGTACAGTAGAATTTCTCTATATATTTCATATATTTCATAGGGCAAAGAGATGCAGATAGGGTTGTTATGTATTCAGATGCAATTTTTCTATTCTGTTTTATCATGCGTACACATATAAAGTTGTACAGTAATATATGTAGTCTTAGTCAATTCTTGTTGTTTTATTCACTGGATTTAAGTTCCAGGAATCATGGCTAAAAATGTTAACAATTGTAAAGAAAGTCTTTCAATAAAGAAGCCAACGGAACAATCCACCCTCCTTGACTTTATTGATTATTTCAATTTATATAGTTGCCTATCTCCGATTCATGACTCTGGGCAACTAACAGTCTTAAAAGAAAAATATAAAAGTATTTTTTTAAAAACCCAGGAAAACAAAAACACTGCACATAGGATAGCAGCCTGGCTAAAAACAAACTCATCAGTCACAAGTTGACATAACTAATCTACATGTTCAGCCCCATATCCTGACCACCAGACTTGATGGAACAACCCATTTCTTAAAAGAGAAATAATGTGCAGAATGCTATTTTAGAGAAAGGGAACAGAGACTGAAGGGCCATACTTACATGGCTGTAAAAGATGAGAGCCTCTAATTGAGGGGGACGTATTGGGAGCCTCATAGAACCTATCATGCAGGTAGCTGCAGGTCCAGTGTACTACAGTAATCCAATTAAGTGACGGACATTCCAGAAAAGAGTTTTCTAGATGGAACAGAGCAAAGGGCCTCTTAGCCATAGCTGCCATCTGCTCCTGAAGCAGGAGCTGTGAATCTGAGAGGAAGTGCAAATCCATTTAAAATTAGTGATGGAATCTTCCAGGAAGCAGCTGGCCTTACAGACCCACAGTGACTCCCATCTTACTGGAATTAGGTCTTAACCTAATCCTCCCCCTCTGAAAGGACAGCCTCCAGGCACCTGAAAGTGCTTCAGTAGCATCACTTACTCGACCAGCGATAAAGATGTACACATTGGTATTATCAGCAGACTGATTAAATCTGACCCACTGCCACTGGGTGATCTTACCATGTGGTTTCATTTACCTGAATAGGAATGGGGAGAGTGAAGGGCCCAGGGCATCCCTCACTTAAGAGGTTTAAAGTTTGATTTCTTCCTCAATCCCTTTGGGAAGGAGGAGAACCCCATAGAGTAGTTCTCCTCCTTCCATATTCCTTTTGGGGGGAAAATATTTGTACGGTCTATCCACAATAGCCAGTGGCAATCAATTTCCTATGAAGAAATCTCAAATAGTAAATAGCTTAAGAGTCTATTACGCTATGGGTGCAGCAGTTTAACCTGTAGTTACCTTATTTCTGGCTCCCTGGATCTCTGAGATTTCTAAGATCGTACTGCCAAAATTCAATGAAATGTTATTGTTGTTGATTTCACCATCACCCCTGCCAACGTCCTAAAAAGGAATAAGGGCAGAAACCTTCTGAGAGGTAAACCATCTATATTCTCACTCTCACTACCATTTTTAGTACAATGTTAAGCCTTTTTAAACAAAATAATATGGGAAATTTATGAAGATAAATCAAGTATGGTGGAATATAGTCTGGATTCCCTGGAGGGAGAGAGTGCATTCCAGAGGAATAAGAGGCAGCTCAATCCAAATACTTTGTGTGAGAGAAAGAAGGTGAAGACAGCCACTCCCTGATAGTTCTCAGAGTATAGCCTTGATGTCAGAAAGTAGAGTGCTTGAGTTTGGCAAGATTGATGTCAAAAGTAAGAAAGATACATGATTCTTCCAAGCACATTTCCTTATTCTTCCACACCTATAAGACAGAATCTTTCCAAACTGATTCCTCTGGAATACACCACTTTCTTCCTGGGAATGCAGACTGCTACATTCCATCTCATAGGACAGTGATGGCAAACCTTTTAGAGACCGAGTGCCCAAACTGCAACCCAAAACCCACTTATGTATCGCCGGGTGCCGGGTGGGTGTGGCCCACTCGGCGGGCACAGCTACAGTAGGCTTGGCAGACTGGGTGGGCGTGGCCACTGGATGGGTGTGGCTGCAGTAGTCATGGCAGATTGGGTGGGCATGGCCGGGGTGGGCATGGCCACCTTGATGTTGCTTATGGGGAGGGACACCTGTGGGAGCCGGGCAGGGTTGGGGGAGATCCAGGTGGTCTCTGGCGGGTGGGATGGTGGGCTCCCCAATGGCGGGTCCAGGCTGGCTGGCCTTAGGCCAGTGATGGCGAACTTTTAGAGACCACGTGTGCTGGGCGATGGCGTGTGCCCACAGAGTGGGCTCCGCGTGCCGCCTCTGGCACGCATGCCATAGGTTCGCCACCACTGTCATAGGAAATCACTGCTAGACAAACTGTTTTCATCTTCAAAGCCCTGAAAAAAATCCTGAAAATGGCATTTTCAAGACTTGCCTTGAATATAACAGTGGGATTTGGAACAAAGAGTCATGTATGTGAGATGGACAGCTATATAAATGTAATAAATGAATTGATTTCCAAAGTTCTATAGATACCACTTTACTGTTAAAACTCATAGAGGGGGAAGTGATCTTAAAGTCAGCCACAATTTTTCTTGGATGTCAATCGAAGGCATCCAACTGACCATGTCAAAGTGGGGGTCTGAATGGCAGTCATCCACCTTCAGATAATGCCTAACTTTCTAATAATATGGATTTTATTAAAATATTTTTCATAGAACAAAGATACTTTTCTCTTGTCTGATTTGGCATTCTGAAAGTCCTTTAATTTTGTCCCTGTTTTTCTAGAGATCAACTGTATTTGAAAACTTACAGAAAGCTTTGCCACTTCTACACAACTCAACAGTATTTGACGTGACTTTTTTTTTCTTATCGGTATGAAGAGAATCAAGGACACAGTTAAATATGAAAATCCCGTTCTTCAAACATTAGAAAGGAAAAAAAAGCAGAAAACTGGTTTTTATAGTTCAATGTTTGATGCATCTCATTCTTTCAACTTGATTGACTGGGGAAACCTGCCAATCCATATAGTTTTGCAAATCTTTCAGTGTCTGCCTCTTGTTGATCGTGCTCGGGCATCTTCAGTTTGCCGGAGATGGAATGAGGTATTTCATATCCCTGATCTTTGGAGAAAGTTTGAATTTGAACTTAATCAGCCTGCTACGTCTTACTTGAAGTCTACTCATCCTGATCTTATTCAGCAGATTATCAAAAGACATGCTAATCATTTGCAGTATGTAAGCTTCAAGGTAAAGAATGTTTTAATAACTCTGAATTTGTATGTTTGCACCTTGGATTATATTTTCTGTTGTTGTTTTTTGTTTGTGTGGGAAACTTCTTTTATATATTGCCTACTTGAAGTATTGAAGAAATGCTAATTAGAAGTGTTAAAGTAGATTTGAGGACTCCAGCTCAATCTTCTCTTACGCCCTTGTCCCTTCAGCCCATATGTGGTTCACAATATCCTCCAGTTCTTAATATATTAATATATACTAATATATATTGCTAGTGCATGTATTATATGCCATTAGTATTATATATACTAATATATATTGCTAGTGCATGTATTATATCCCCCAGTTCTTCAGAGCAGAAGGTGTGGGAAGAATTGCTGGCAGCAAACAATACATTTAGCACAAGTGAATAGACATATTTATATACAGACCAAAAAGAAGCAGATTGAAATATGGATCATTTCTCATCACATCTAACTTTAGAAATTTGTGGGAATAAACATGTAAGGGACTGTCTTTGACTGTCTTTTGATTGAAGTCTTAGTGTACTTTCTTTAAAACTGAATCAGTCTTGATCACCTGAATACTATGTCAGGTACATCCTAGTAAATGCACAGTGGCTCCTTATATTTCTTATATTTTTAAATGTACAGGTAGAACTTGCTTAACAACTGCCTGTTTAGCAACCTGTTTAGCGAAGGTTGAAGTTATAATGGCACTGTAAAAGTAAATTTACAACCAGTTCTTGCATTTACAATCGTAGCAGTATCCCTGTGGTCACATGATCAAGATTCAAATGTTCATAAGCAGTAGGGTTTTATGATTATCGCAACATCCCACAGTCATGCGATCACACTATTTGTGTGCTTCATAGCCGGCTTCTGATTAGCAGAGTCAATGGAAAAGCCAGCCCTAAAATTGCAAGTTGTGGTCAGACAATGTATCGTTTAATGACCTATGGCAGTGGTGGCGAACCTTTTAGAGACCGAGTGCCCAAACTGCAACCCAAAACCCACTTACGTATTGCCGGGTGGGTGTGGCCCGCCGGGTGGGCATGACTATGGTGGAAATGGCAGACTGGGTGGGCTGGACTGGGTGTGGGCAGCTGCATTCTGTTTCTCCATTTGCTTCTCAGCCTTCGCCACGTGTTTGTGGGACTATCGGTTAAAAAAAAGTTTGCGAGAAGTTAGAAAGTCTCATGGAACTTTTTTTTTGCCCCACAAACACGTGGCGAAGACTGAGAAGCAAATGGAGAAATGGCAGGGAAGCTGTTGTTCCCGGCTTTGGCCGGGCGGCGTGCTGGCTGCCGAGCAGAGGCCGTGAAAGGAGAGGAACCCGGAACAGGGAAGCCGTCGTTGCAGGTAGGCCACCCGCGCCTTTTGCTGCCGCCATAGCCCCACGAGGCCGAGGCAAGGCAGCCCCATCCTCCCCCGGCCACCATTACTCTCTGCTTGCTGCCGTCGCCGAACGAGGCCAAGGCAAGGCACCCCCCTGCGCCGCCGGCCACTCTTACCACTCTGCTGCCATTGCTGAACAAAGCAAGGCACCCCCCCGCTGCCCTTACCGCTCTGCTGCCGTCGCTGAACGAGGCCAAGGCAAGGCACCCCCCCATCGCTCTTACCGTTCTGCTGTCACCGAATGAGGCCAAGGCAAGGCAAAGCACCCCCTGCTGCCCTTATCGCTCTGCTGCCTTCGCCCACGAAGGCAAGGCAAGGCATCCCCCTGCCGCCAGCCGCCCCTTGTCCTCCCCTGCGTGGCCGGCCGCTGAAACTTACCGCTGTTGGCTTGTGTTCGCTGTCTGCTCCGACTGGTGCTCACTCTCTCGCTGTCTGCAGCAAATGCTGCTTCCGCCGAAAGTTACTCCCTTTATAGCCTCTCGCCTATTCCCAGACTGCGTATGCGCAGCTCTGCGGAAAGCTGCGCATGCGTGGAGAGGAAGAGGGAGCAGCTCGGCCCAGCAATGGATCGCGTGGCACCAGAGATGGCTCATGTGTGCCATAGGTTCGCTACCACAGACCTATGGTAACTCAGTTAACATTGGAAGTGTTGTAAGTCCATTGTGATCACATGATGTCTTGCTTAATGACCATATTAGTTGCCAGGCCCGGTTGTTGCAAAGCAAAGACCATCTGTATTCAATTTATGTGTGCTTCTTTGAAGTCCTGTATCAGCTTCTATATATATTTGTGCACCTTTCTGTTCAAGAATTGTAGGTGATGAGTCGTTAACTTTAATTAACTGATGAAAAACAGTACTTAGTAGTGCTGAGAATCAAAGGGTTCCAATATGCTTTAAAGCTAGCAAAGAAGTTTAAAAGGAATGGCAGCGTGAGATAATCTTTATCTTGATGAAATGCTGTTTTTCAGGTTGACAGCAGTACTGAGTCTGCAGAAGCAGCATGTGATATTCTTTCTCAGCTGGTGAATTGTTCTATTCAGACACTTGGCTTAATTTCAACAGCAAAGCCAAGTTTCATGGATGTTTCTAAGGTATTACTTGCAAAGATATGAACTTGGAAAACTGATAAATTCAACTTTTATATACATATATTTGGGGACACAGTCTATATAATTTTTCCCCAGTGTGTCATTTTTGGAAATAATTCATTGATTGGTTTTGCTTTAAGAACAAAGTTCTGGTACAATAGGAACCTTTACAAATTGAGAGAAAAAAAATGACCTTTTTCTAGTCTCTTCTTTCTGCTGCAGTTCCTTGTCATTTCTAGAAAATCTATCAATCCTCTGGAACAAAGTGAAAAAGTAGCTGCAGCATAAAGAAGTAATTGATGAAATTGTTTTCCATCCTTTTCCATTCACTGAACCAAATATTGCTATGCAAGTGAAGCAGCACAGTTGTGTAGCACCCTATAATTTAAATAAGCAGGTCCTACCATGAAAACCTTAGATCATGACAAATGCTAGCATGAGAAAACAACGCCTTGTGACCAGAAGAATTCTAGTTGTGTGTGTGTATATATATAATCGTGGCAGTAATAAAAGTATCCGAACACCAGGATAAAAATCTTAAACCAAAGCTGTTTAATCTACAAAAAGTACTAAGCTTTCGTCGGCCAAACTACCGACATCGTCAGAGTGTAAAAACGTCGGATCCGGGAGTTAGTTTATATAACTGGCCGCCTCTGCGCTCTAACCCTTGAACGGGTCATTGGTCCATTCATTAGTACTGGCCGTGCTGTTCTTAAAGGGGCCGTGCTTGTCAATGCATCCATAGCTTGGAAGTTTGAACGACGAAAGCTTAGTACTTTTTGTAGATTAAACAGCTTTGGTTTAAAATTTTTATCCTGGTGTTCGGATACTTTTATTACTGCCACGATATATATATATATATATATATATATATATATATATATATATGTTCGAAGGGTCACAAGCAGTGAGACCACCAGGAGATTAAAAAGTTACAAAAATTTATTGCTATTAAAACATTAAAACACCTAGCTTTCGCCGGCCTCCTGCCGGCTTCGTCAGGGTGACTAGCCATCAGTGGGGTAGCTGTTTTTATAGGAGCGGT